TATGTATGGAGCACCTGTGTGGAACGAAGCAACCAATATGAATGTAAATAAAAAAAGACTTGAAGGTGCACAGAGAGTCATGGCTTTGAGGGTCTGCTCGGCGTATCGGACAACTTCAACTGAGGCAGCCTTGATGATATTGGGTCTTGTGCCCTTGCATCTTCTCTCAAGAGAAAGAGAACGACTCTTTCTCAAGGGTGAAGTACAAACCAGGGCAAGCAGAGAGATGGAGAGAAACCGCACAGTGCAGCAGTGGCAGGCAGAATGGGAAGTATCACAAAAAGGAAGATGGACATATAAGCTCATCACAAATATAAATATGTGGATTAAAAGAAAGCATGGAGAAGTAAACTTCTATCTTACTCAAATCTTGAGTGGCCACGGAAATTTTGGGAGTTACCTGTGTAAAATTGGAAAGAGGGAAGTCGCGGAATGCCGATACTGTGCTGAACCCAATGATACTCCAGAACACACAATGTTTGCTTGTCCAAGATGGGAACAGGAAAGATGTGAGGCACGCATGACGATTGGTGGCAACACTTCAAAGTTTTCTCTTCTTTCTGTTACCGATTTTAAGAAGGTATCTGCGGAGGATACCTTCCACGAACCCAAAAAAAAATAACCTCAAAAAGTTATTCGCGAAACAACCCCCTACCCTTGCAAAATCTACCCTATCCGCATTTCCAAATAACTTTTCAGTATCACCATTTGATTTAGGGTCAAAATTTATAGCAGAGGATTTTTTTCAAAATTTTATCTCGTTTTTTAAGCCTACAATTTCAAAACAACCGTATTTTAAATTGACCCTTTCAGTGCCCCTAGCTCCCTTAATATGCATTTTCCGCCCTATACTTATACGAACTTTTTTTACTATTTTTAGGAGTACTATCACCCCCCCCCCACCGATTTTTTTACACCATTTCAATGACACCCTGTATAATTTGTGCACTACCACTATCCTCATATTTTATAAGAAAAAATAGAATTAAGGTTTCAAAGATGAAACCAGATATTTTTTTTTAAACACCTCTGTAACTGATCATTCAGACCCAATTAGTCATTAATTATCTTATCTTATTTAACTATTAAATATTTTAAGTTCTAATTTAAAAGCAAAAACGTTTAATGCTATTTTAATATTCCTGAAATTTGTCTAATTTAAAAGAAATATGATTAGTATAGACTTAATTTGTTAAGTCTATACTAATGTAACGTTTTTAGTTCGTTACATGTCTTTTTTATATATAATATATGATGTCTGGCCTATCATCACCGGATTCTCTCTCGTTCAGGCCGGATAGTTTATTTGACGCGTAATTTTTACGTTCTCTAGTCGGCAACCCTGTTATCGTTTGACACAACCCTGTTATCGCTCTGTGGAGGCGCTGTCAACATCGCTTCTGTCAACTCTCTGTGCTGTCGACTGTCACCTCCCTGGCCTAACCTAACCATCCCGGCTTTTAGAAATGGTGATTATTTAAATCTTGCTGTATAATCTGAATCAGCTGCTATTTCAAATCAACAGGTAAAGATGAGATATTATCCTTTTAGATTCGATATTATTACTGCATATTTTTAGGGTAGCGTTTTGGATGTCCCAACTTAACTTGTATTTGTATTTTGCTGGCACGTTGACGTCCCTTTTCTTTTGTCCTCCAGAATGTTACATGGAAGAAAGGACAGTTTCTTTGTTTATTATTGAGCCCTCGGAAATAATTCGAGGTAGGTTTATTTTGTTTATTAGACCTTGTTTGGCTTTAAACAAGAGTTTCATATTTTTAGGGTCCAAGGTACGGACTATTTACAAGGTACGGGCATTATCCAAGGTCCTAGTAGTATCCAAGGTACGGGTAGTGTTCCCCTGTACCGTTATCTTATGGATGGACTGTGGCCAAGGTTATGGTCCAAGTTACGGACATTATCCAAGGTCCTAGTAGTGTTCCAAGGTACGTGTAGTGTCCCCATATTGTCACAGTATGGATACAGCGTAAGCCCCATGCTGCTTCGCTCCCATTTCTAAGCCTAGTCAGTAGCTACGGCTGTATTGATTCATGGTGTCCTCATTCTGGCCTCTTTTGTTGTTTTGGCCAACAGGATCGCCGACAGACAGTACAGAGATATGAGCCTACCTCACGCTGCTACTCTTCGAAACAGGATTGCCTCAAGAACAGCTAAGTGTAGATTTAGGTTCAGATTTTCAGTCGATATTTAGTCTTAACTTAATAACGTATATTTTAAATAATATCGTACAGACTATATTTAGTGGTTAGATTATTAAGAACATTTATGTCGATTTAGTAGTTACAATATGATTTAGATTTTAGGTTTCATTAGATTACGTCTTGTAATAGTATTTAACCACTATAATAATTATTAAAATTGTACAATGCTATTTACTATCAGAATTCATCATGAATAAATATAGCCATTAGTTTTAAGTAATATACAGCTGTGTTTTCTTTCTCTGTACATGCCTGGCGCCCAATATCTATTTCTTTTGTTTATTGTTATTAAATAGTTTTCTTTCCAGTGAAATACCTTATGCTGCTCTCCGACTGCTCTCCGATGAAAAGCTGCCGTTCGCAGTGGTAGTTGTTATAAAAAACGCTACACTAATCATATTTCTTTTAAAACATAATTTTATGCTGAAAATTGGAGAACAAGATTAAAACGAATGAGTCAGGTTAACATGACAGACATACACAAATAATAGTCCAGGAGGCAGTATTTTTTTGTACTTTTTTTTAATATGTGACTCTGGCTAAAATAGTTGGATGGGTTCACTAAATAATAAAATAAAATTGCAGGCACATTCCTAGTGGAGGAAAGCCAATCTGGCTGAAACGAGGGGTGTCTCACTTGGGTAAAAAATGTACATATACTGCCAAAATATCATTATACCTGCAAGCGACTGCCAAGGACTACGAAGAAAACTGCCTATGACTGCCATGTAATTATTGTAGGCGACTGCCGTAAGACTGCCATTGACTGCCAGCGACTGCCAAGGAAATGTACATGTAATTCGAGTGAGACACCCCTCGGGCTGAAAATTTGCGGATGCAAACATTTGACATATTTTTGTAATCCTTAACCCTTACTTTCCCGTGCTAGAAAAAACGTATCATTTGATACTATCATAAACTATTACAGTTGAGGGTTGGAACCTTTGGTGTTACACAGCAAAATAAAAACACTAAATCACCACAATACACCAAAACACTTTTATCTTACACTGGACGCGCGTTTCGCTAACAATGTTAGCATCATCGGCAGATGATTATAAACTGGACTTAGTTTATAATCATCTGCTGATGATGATAACATGGTTAGCGAAACACGCGTCCAGTGTAAAATAAAAGTGTTTTGGTGTATTGTGGTGATTTAGTGTTTTTATCATAAACTGTAATCAAAAGCAAGTTAAAGTAAACGCCACGAATGTTTGGGAGTGATTCATCGGTCGCTACCATGTGAACTAATCTGTTCAAGGTCACATAAAACTTAATTCCAGTGCCGTGGTGTTTCAAGTCATATAATAATCAATATATAATCTGTTGTAATTTGTTGTTTTAACTGTCAAGGTTTTGTCAAAACATATATTTGGTTATAAATATAAAATGTAATGCCCCATTGGTCGCACTGCAACCACACCAATGGACTGACACCAAAAAACGAATGAATCAAAGACACGCGATATAGTATCGTCTTTGTCAATCACGCTAACATTTTAGAATAAGAAGGAGGAGCGCAGGCAGATGATTAGACCGGGTCTAAAAACCTACGTCTGCGGTAAAAATTTACATTTTTATTGTAAAAATGATAGCGCGCGTGTCTATTCTAACTTCATCAAGCGATAAATCAGTCCCAAACATTCGTGGCGTTTACTATACAACAATAATCAAATGAGTCTGTCAGAACGAGGGTGGCTCATTACCATATTTGAAAAAAGCATTTTTTTACGAAAAATTTGGTACCACGTATTTATATTATAGACACTCTGAATAGAATGGCATATCATATGTCAACTTTTGACATATACGCTTACAGTACGTCTGTCCGTTGTGTAGCTACGGTGTATCCATGAGAGGGGAAACGATATTCTCTCGATGTTTTTCGTAAAAAATTAGACGACGCGTCCCATCAATAAAAATTCGACAAATTTGCAAGTAGCCAATAAAATGTGTGGGCGGAGCGATTTGCGGTGACGTACTCGTCAAATCGACGTATAAAATATATTGCTGTTTATTTAAATGTTCTTTGTCCGCATTCCTTTCATAGACACAGATCCAGCAGACGTACTGTAATTGTCTTTTGTTTTTCGTGTGTTGTCCTGGTCGATTAAAATATGCCCACATCGTATTTTTAATCATATCTCAATGCTTCCAAATGGAACGAATGCATATTTAGGAAAAGCATTTTATACGAGTAATTTTGTACCACACATTTGGTATTATATTTGAGTAAAATTAAAGGGAAATTAAAACAACTTTCGTTGCACGTCATCAGTGACACCATGCGTCGTCTTATGGAGTTTGCTGGTGGTCGTATTATGATGTGCAACAAAAGTTATTTCCCTAACGATATAATTATGAACGGCATGTTACAATTTCAAATAAACCATATGCGAAAATGCCAAAAGTTGACATATACTATGTCATTCTATTTAGAGTTTCATTTTCTATCGAATAAAGTAAAAAAATACCGAGGGTGTCATTTAAACAACAAAAGTTGTAGTCATAACATACCAAATCTCGTATTTTTATGCAAAAAAGTAAAAAAAATATAGGGGTGAGCCACTTTTGAGAAGCACCCGGTATATGAAATTCTTTAGAATAACATACCGAACAATTATTCTGTCCGTGTGTGGTGTGCTGACTGGGAAAAAATATGTACCAAAAATCTTCACTCTCTCCTAGACTATAATAAATAACCGTTTTTGGATTATAATTCCGAATTTAGCACACAGCACGTTATTTCGTAATTTCTAAACTTGATAAAATATTCACACGAATTATTGACATAGGAATAAATGTAAATATGTTAATTTCGTTTATTTAAAATTCGTTTCGACACGATCGCGAGGTTCCTTATCAAGCTCTGGCTAAAGTACAACATAAAACATAATAAGTAACGTAATTTTTCATTAATTTTTGTGACAGATAAGTCTGCCTGAATCCGTACAACTAGACAATGTTTCACAGGAATATTATAGTACATAATAAAGTGATTAATATCCGAAAATCATGATAAAGGTAAAATAAAAAAGTATGTATAAAGTATTTTTAGTGAATGAGTGTTGTTTTAAAGGATTCAGTATATCTGGTTACTGGAGGAATATCAGGATTAGGCAGGGGTGTAGCTGAGAAGCTGTTAAATGAAGGCGCTAGTGTAGCTATTTGTGACTTGAAATTGCCTGAGGAAAATGATAGTTTACGATCTTTTGTGGACAGGGTGATGTTCTTTCAAGTTGACGTGAGTATCTTTCGAACCTAAAATAATATTTTTAATTAACATCAGTGTGTGAGGCGGTTAAGCAAATTTTAGTAGTAAAAAATTTTACAATAGGTTTTAAATATAATAAATATAATAAAAGAAGTATAGATACGTTAAAAAAAATTGTTACATCTAAACAGTTTCTTTTCTTTCTTGAACAATATTTCCCGGAGATTACAGAACTAAGTTCATCGTAATATTAAGACAATGGTGCCTTATACAATATTTTACTTAAAATTAAAAAAAAAACACTAAGAGTTGTGTTTCTGGATAGTAAATCCACTAGTTAATTTTAGGTCACTTCTGAAAAGGAAATTTTAAATGCTCTTGATGTGATTAAAAGAAAGTTTAACAAATTAAATGGTGTGATTAATTGTGCTGCCGTAAACTTGCAACATCCCGTATACGATTTTGAGAAACACGAACCCCATAGTTTACAAGAATTCACAACTATTATTAATGTAAGTGAAACAGGTAAATATTTCCTATAATTCAATAACTAAAATTAAAAAAAAATCTATGCTTAAAATGAGTGGAGTAAAGCTTGATTTTCATGCGTCCGTTATCCGACGATAGGATGATACTATATTAATTTTATTGGTTGAATTTAAAGACTTCATTGGTTAGAAACGGTTAACCAATCGAAGTCTTTAAATTCAATCAATAGAATTAATATCGTATCATCGTATCGTCGGACAACGGATGCATGAAGATCAAGCTTAATGAGTCTTAAAAGTGCAAATATTTTCAGGTAATCTAATTTTCGAATCTCGATAAAAGAAACATATTTTCTCCTTACCGTTTTTCAAATAAATCCAAAATAAGAGAGTTATTTTACATTGAAAATTTCTTGTAAATTTTGAGTTGAAACTTTGAGTTTTCTTGTAAATTTAATCTACTTATAATAATAATATTTTGACGATATTATGTTTTTGACTAAAAATTACAAAAAAATTCAAAATATCACAAATTTAAAAAAAAATCGCAAAAAACATCATAGATGTGTCTCTGGGATCGAAATATACTACACCTAAAAATATTTGCGCTTATTTAAGACTCACCTGTATAAAATATGTCAAATAAAAAATATTAAAATAGAAGTAATTTTTAAACTTATGTCTATTACGTGACCTGGAAGAAAATATTTAGTTGGTGTAAGCTAAACCTTCTGTTTTTACAATAGTTTTTATTATCATTGTTCAGTTATTAAATTATAAATAGATTACATTTTCAACTTAAATTATATATAAAAAAATGTTGTCATGCACATTTATCACCAGACTGTAAATATTTATGGTTTTCATTAAAATTATACATATTTAGATATGTAATTTACAGCTTCATATTTTACAAGCTGTGGAATTAGAAAGTGTATGTCATCACTACAAAAAAAAATAAATTAACATATAACTTTGTCACTTAATTTAACAAATTGCCACAAATTATTTTGGTTATAAATTACTGTGTGCTGTACAAATAATTATTTATAATAAAAATGCATGCGTTATTTTTCTAGGTAAATTTGATTGGAACTTTTAATGTTATTAGGCTTTCTATTCCATTATTGATAGAAAATGCCCCAAATACAAATGGAGAAAGAGGAATAATCGTAAATACATCAAGGTAAGATTCAATTGCTTTGCCCGATGTCACACTGCGCGTTTTTGCGGCTGCTTAGTTTGCAGCTTCTTTTCATGATACCTAATAAAAAACCGCCACAACTACTACTCATAGTATATACCTATGTATTTTTAAACATCATTATGAGATCAGGTACATAGGTGCCCATAATATGAGTAGCGGTATTGTCGGTTTCATCATAACGGATTTTGTTATGATGAAAATAAGCAGCAAAATATATATTATCGATTGCAATAACTATACCTAGTTTACATTCAGTATGTCCAATTAATATAGAACATTATACCTATGCATACTTTTAATTTTATTCCCCGTTTAGGTATAGTTTGATTTCATATTTGATATATTCTATGAAGTGATTTTAAGTGCTCCTGGCCATTTTTCAATTATTAAAGTGCTTATTTATATATGTTACACACAATACTTGAATTCGGGTAATGCCCGAAAAAAATGCACAGAACTACGTTTGAGCAAAAAATATTTCCCAAACCCGAAATTGTACAGGGTGGGTCAAATTCGACGCTTTCAAATAGAAACACCCTTTTCTATAGGAGATAGACAAAAACTAATATCGGTGTCTGGAGTTCAATTTTTGTCAAAAACATGATGGTGAAAACCGCATATCGATATCTGTTACCGTTTCGGAGTTACGGGGTGTTTTTCAAAAATATGCATTTTTAACAAATCGCTGTAACTTTTTTGCCATGGAAAATCTTGTATTTTTATGAAAACATTTCCAAAGCACCTTTTTACGTAGAATTTAATGGTTTAAGTATAATTTTTTTAAAATTAATAATTTAAGAATTATCAACAGAAAATTTTATTTTTTATATGGGACACCCTGTATATTTTTAATTAACTGAAAAGAATTTAAAATTACTTTTCCAAAAATATAGCACACTTGATATTTTGTTATAATCCCCTTCGAAATACAGAATTTTTAAAAGTTCGCCACTTTTAACTAGTAGGCTTTGGACCCCTCATTGATAATATGCCCTTAATGGAACTCGAAAACATATTTTTCCAGCAAGACGACGTACCGCCTCTGAACGCTGAAGTTATCAGCAAATTTCTGCAGCCAATTTCAAGAATAATTGAATAGCTGACCAAGAACCCAGCCATTGGCCGTCGAGGCCGCCTGACTTAGTGCCCATGGATCTAATCCTATAGATATATTTGAGGAAGAATAAAGGTTCCTTATTCTTCTGTATAATCTAGACAAGAATTAGAAATACTTAGCAGTTAGGAGAGGGTATCTTTCACCCCCACTGAGTTAATGAATTCCGCGACAAATGTTCAAAAACTGCCCGTCTGTCCATAACAGAAGACGGTCGATATATCGAACACCTGTAGCAAAATCTCATGTCCTGGTTTGCTATTTATTTTTATTGTTATTAGATATAGTTTAAATGTGTTGATGTTGGTTAAATATATTTTAAACTGTTATAAATTTCTGCATCTCTCATAGCAAATATTATTTTCGTTTTAATTGATGCTCACAGCTAGATTTTTTTTGCATTACAGCCGGTGCCGTTCAAAGCCTACTTATTTAAAGCGGGCGAATTTTTATATACTCTATATCTCGAAGAGGAATCGAGCAAAATGTCAAGTGTATTATATTTTTGGAAAGCTAATTTTAAATTCTTTTCAGTAAATTAAAAATATACAGGGTGTCCCATATAAAAAATCAATTTTTCTGTTGATAACTCTTAAATTATTAATTTAAAAAAAATTATACTAAAACAATTAAATTCTACGTAAAAAGGTGCTTTGGAAATGTTTTCATAGAAATACAAAATTTTCCGTAGCAAAAAAGTTACAGCGATTTGTTAAAAACGCACATTTTTGAAAAACACCCCGTAACTCCGAAACGGTAACAGATATTGACGTGCGGTTTTCATCGTCATGTTTTTGATGAAAATTGAGCTCCAGACACCGATATTAGTTTTCGTCTATCTCCTATAGAAAAGGATGTTTCCATTTAAAAGCGTCGAATTTGACCCAACCTGGACATTTAAACGGGTATTGCGCATTACAAAACAGCAAAAACTAGTATTGTGCATTTTAAATTGTGCAAAACTAGTTTGATGCATTTCAAAATGACCAATACTAGTTTTGCTCGTTTTCTTTAAATAAGGCGGCAAAAAGTAGGGTTCGCAGTTTATTTAGGTTTTAAAGGATTCTTATTTTCATTTTGTTGTGGGTGGAAATACGCAATACTTAGTAAAATAAAATATAAAAATGCAAGAAAGAATGGAAGCCGAGTTCGAAATTCAAGTAAGTCGATTGATGATGGCTAAAACACAGAAACATAACCGTATGTCGAAAAAACAATAGCTAACGATATTGACTAAAGTTAATGAGACACATTTTCTTAAAACTGATTTAAAACCTTTGTGTGCGAAACAATATAGAAGGATAAAGCGTTTTGATATAATAACTGTGGGTGGTGTGGAAAAATTGATCAAGAAGCGCCAAGGAGTTTGCGTTGTCATGCTGTATTTTGTGGCTACTGAGGAAATGTTTTCTATAATTCACCAGGCACATATGGGACAGGCCATAAACGACATAAAGCTTTGTTTTTTACAAATTAGCAACAAAGACTGGAGTTTTACAAAAACTTTATTGTAGAAATGAGTTTCAATTAGCTGATAATATTTTTTTTATTGACAACAACAATGTTGGCGATAAAACGGAAATATCTCTTAGAACTGCATCTTCCGATATATCCGGATCTACTCAACGTTTTATTTCATGCATGTGTATAAAAAAAATGTATTAATAGAGCGTGTTCTTGTAGAAACTGCACCAAACTAGTTTGGCGCCAGTTCAAAATGCACAATACTAGTTTTGCGCCAATTCAAAATGCACAATACTAGTTTTGACTATTTTGTAATGCGCAATACCCGTTTAAATGTACCGGGTGGCCAACTAAGAATGGACGCCGGCTGTATCTCAGAAACTACTTATCGTACAAGTTTGGGAAAAAAATTCTAATAAGTAAATCGACCAAGAGAAATCGCTGGAAATTATTTTCAAGTTTGAAAAATGTCCGCTAGGGGGCGTTTCTCTCATAGCCAATCAGAAAACAGGGTTTTTCTCAAAAATATGCAGGTGAACAGGTATTTTAAATATTACTATTATAATCATCGAGAAATTTGTAATTTTTTTGATATAGGGTATTTTGCTCTATCTCATAAAATAAAGTGGTGAGGGCAGGTTAAACTTGCTTTTATTAAAATTAGGATAACTAGGATTACGATATAGGATAACTCTGGTTTGGGTTACCCGATTCAAACAAACTAGGGCTCGTTTAAAAGAGCTTTTCTTCCTTAATGATCTCCAGTATAAATTCTGTTTCCATAATTTTTTTCGTAGTAGCTAGAGGGCGCTGTTTGACATCATAACAGATATTATAACAAACCAAACCAAACCATGTTAGACTCCCACCTAGGATTATATGGTCTAAAAATTATAGTAGTAGGCTAGGAAACAAAAAGAGGTAACTTGGTTACGTCAAAATATCAAAACATATATTTCAATTTCATTTTAATACCATTTAATTGTTATTTATCCATGTTCCTTCTTGATTCGACCCCATAAATTAAAATCCAGGCATATTGAATCCGATGACCTAGCTGGCCATGGAAATATGCCGCTCCAGCGTCTCTATCTACTAAAGTAAGTGGTATTATTATTAACTATTCAAGAAACCCCACAAATTCATAGCAAAATAGGCGGCACAACTGCACTAACTGCATCAACTACACCAACTGTATTGATGCTGATGAAATTGCAATTGGCAATTCATCTCTTAGAAATTGTGGATAGTTCATTTCATTCAGATAATTAAAAAAGTCCAATCATTTGCCATCTTATAATTCCTGCTTAAACATTTACCGACCAACGGTCTTGGTGCGGAACTACTTGCACCGTTATTTGAACCAGTAGTGAATATTGTTAAGATTTGCACCTTCAGTGATATATGAAAGTTGACCCAAACGACATAAACGTTATAATATAATAATAAATATCACAAACAACAGATAAAACACGAAAACAAGAGAAATCAAGGACTAACTTGGATTAATAACTGTTAGCGCCTTCGATAGCTCTGGTTCCGAGTGTTACTTGCCCTTACTAGCGGCGGCTAGGTTGAATAACATTGACACATTAAATTTTCAATTACTGTATTGAAAGAAAATTATAAAAATGGAAACGTGATTGTGTAATTATAATAATTGCAATGTCTTATTTCAGTCTGTCTTTTTCTTCTGTCAACCGGCACAGGGTCACCCGCGTTGCCACTTCCTCGCGCGGTTGCCACTTCTTATATATGATTATGTCATATCCTTAACAATAACTAATAACCTGTAATGACGTTACACGAAATAACCCCCACTTTTCGGCCATACAAAATTCGGCCGATTTCTATTAAAAGCAATATGGCGGCACAAAATTCCTAGAAATTTTAATAAAATTATTGCTTGTCGGACATTTTAATCAGTATCATTCGGAAAAATTATATGGATGGATGATAATGTTACATAAACACGTTTAAATATTTATGACGTCATTTTAAAAAAAAAGCACCCGAAATTCGCATGCATGAAATCTGAACTTAAACGTTTTGATATTTTGACATAACTAATTTACCTTTTTGTGTTTCCTAGCCTACTACTATAATTTTTAGACTATATAATCCTAAGTGGCAGCCTAACATGATTTGTTCTCTTAATATTGTTACGGATTCCGTGGGTCCACTATTTAAAGTCACGATAAAATACTTAACGAATTTATTTGTTTCACTCTGTACACACAACTTATACTATTTACAACACAACTTATGCAACTACTATTACTCTAACGGTATTTCGCGGTATTATCAAACTTCAGACTATCTTCAGACTTCTCCAACTGTCAAAGCGCGGGCCTTATATACCCCCTGGCGATGGTTTCTGGAATTTTCTAAAGAATTCTGT